AAAACATTATGGGTGTTGTTGCTAGAACTATTATTGTTGTTATCACTAGGTCACTATATTGCATTTGTATAGACGACTATTTATGTATTTACTCATACTTTTATGATATTAACAGTATATACACAATAATTAGAAACTATTTTGACGATAACAAAGATAATTATTGTAATTGACATCAATTTTTATCATAAATAAAATATTAAAATCATGTAACGATGGAAGTGTTTTACTTCATACTGGATGTTACTATTAAGAGCTAGTTACATGATACTGAGCTATTCCAGCACACTTATGTTTCTTGGAATGCTTCTTACATGTGATTAAAGACCAATCCTATGGTTTTAAGAAGTGAAAAGATGGTCATAATCATCCACACTCCAGCTGCAACATGACAACTGAGTGAGTTATTCCACCGTACCTGGTTCTGATGGACTGAGACTAAGTCTGATGATAGACACTATTCATAGGACTCAGCTGAATACACTTCTGTCTTCATGGCAATGGAGGGGCAAGCGCCTTGGCTCCTGAAAGCAAAATTTAGAAAAACGGGAATCGCCAATGGGTGAGAATATTCCTATGATAAAATGCTATAAAAGCCAAAACAGCAACCAAAGAGCTTACAGAAGAGATAAATAGAGTATACTGAAACAAAAGGACAGCTCAAAGTGGCTCCTACAGCTAGAATGGTTGGATAAAAGAGACGATTGTTTTACCACCACTTTGGTGGCGCGTTAATTAGAATCGCTTAACTGCAAAAGGTCCTTGATTGTTTAAAACTAAATTTAACTCCACAGGGGAATCACTGGACCACACTGACTACGTTGACCCTAGACAGGCACCACTTAACCCTAGTCAGCTGCCACTACCTGACCCTAGTCAGCCACCACCACCTTACTCTAGTCTGGTCTGTCACCACGAAACTGACCCTAGTGAGGTACCATCTGATCCTGAACCTAAAATTGACCATACATAGTTAATAGTCCTTGACCCTAACTGAAATTTAAAAACTTTAAGCCAGATATGGAAATGTTTAGAAACTTCTTTAAATAATAAGATGTTGTGTTATTATTGTGCTATTATTTTTTTGACAACGTTGAAACTAATGATTTTTTTAAATTTTCTAATTATTATTTTGTACATTAAATTTTAAATGAATAGATGCAATGCCATTCCTAATACTAGTGTCCTTCCACCATCTTCCTAACCTATGCTCCTGCCCAACTCCAGCTGCAAGATATCGTCCATCACTTGAGAATGATAGACTATTTATAAAACCAGGCTGCATAATGAAGGAGAGAGAGAGAGAGAGAAAATATAAGACATAGAACTATCTTCAAATATCTTCTTAGTCTTACCAGTGGAACAGTGAACAACTTCTCTAATGTCCTAAAGCTCTCCCCACACTTCCAGAAATGTATATTCCCATCTCTTGACCCTAAAAGGACATACAGTGACATGTACATGTATACACGGAATGACACAGCAAGATGACGTAGAGCATTTATTAGCAAAACATGTGCCTCATAAATAATGTTAGTGAAACAATGCTGAGATTAATAATGATTGCTTGTTTTTTAGAAACTATAAATTTGGTTCTCGATTATTATTGCATGCTCTAATACATATTGATCTCCTTATGCTACATTCAATATTTGTCTATGTAAATAAAAATTTAATCATTTTAATATTACTCTCAAAATTTATGTCCACAATAAATTATTATTACATGCATATGTCATTATTATTATTATTATTATTATTATTATTATTATTATTGTAGGATCTAGTATTTCATGTTGTTTGGGTTCTCTGTTGGTTTATAGCATCAGTCGAATGGGCTGTTGTTCAAAACAAAATGAAAAGCTACATCAAGACTAAAGTCATCCGTGATAAATATCTGGCAGATAGTTGTACCGATACAACATACAATGAACCAGGATCTTATGCACAGGCTGCCATTGCTGATGTTAGTTTTATTATTATTTTTAATAACGTTCGTGTCAATATTAATGCAGCAATTTTTTTGGATGTACACGTACAGTGTAGCCTCTATATAATGGACACTTGAAAGTGTCTCTGTTATACAGAGGTGTCCTTTATGTGGAGGTTATTTTATACAGTAAGGAATGTAATTGGTACACTAGGTGCTGTCTGTTAAATGGAGGTGTATGCTATAGAGAGTGTCCATTAAGAGATACTATACTATGGGAGCTGTCCTGGCATTTAGTGCTACCATTGTAGCTGTCCAAATTACCTGTGATTTTGTATAAATCATTATAATTATTATGATTCTTTTATTTTGATATGTAGGTATTTGGTTTTACAAGTATCGTTCTGTGGGGTGTTAATATATTCTGGGTGGTCATTGACACCAGCTTCTACTTGCAATGGAAAGCAAAGTGAAGCAGCTCTGGAGAATACAATCAAATATGAAGGAACTTACTTTTTTCATATGATTGTGTTGATAGATATTATTGGGACTGTTTGTTGTGTAGTGACCTTTGTTTAAAATTTTTTGAATATTGTTAAGGTCTATACTCTATTATACTCTCTTCCTGTCTCATGAAATGTTGCAACAGTGTTGTAAGGCCTGGTTTCTATATAGCCAATTAGCCATACAACAGCCTTAAGGTGGGCATCCACTATGCAACTTTGTTGCCAGTACCTTTGATGTGGTTGTGCAACATGTTGCATGAAGTTGAGACTCTCTCTACTTCATGCATGCCCACCTTTACAACACTGTTGCAACTATCATGGAGATAGAAATCAGGTCTATCTCTACAACAGACTCAACAGTCGTATGCTAGCCACAGAATCAATACAACAGCTGCAACTAGCTCTATATGGAAACCAGGCTTGATAAGATTTAAAGATCTATATATATATATAATCTTACTTCACTCTTCGCCAGTTACATCATGAGCAACGGTCCAGAACAGCAGCAGCAAGAAGCTCTAGAATTTCAAGAGACTGAAGACACAGCACCTCGCACAACACAAATGAATTCTAACGATAATATTGAATTCGCCGTTTTTTATGAGTACAAGGACAGGCTTGCTGATAATCTGGTCTTCTCACTTTCAGATCTAGCATTACGAGCAGCAGGGAAAAAATTGATAGCTAGTGCAGCCGCAGTATCAGCTGACAAAGTGGGGAAGACTACCACACAGAAAGAAAGAGCAACTTTTCTGATAGGTATGGTAATGAATAAGATGGATAGGAATTTGCAAGAAGCTGCTTACGTTATGCAAAAATTTCTTGAAAGCATTGATAAACATGCACAACTCCATAAATTCCTCAGTAAGTGTGTGTGTATATCTAAAGACCTAGAGATGACCTGCATTTATCATAATTTTGCACAATAGGTAAAAAATACGAGGAGATTAGAAATCAGATGACACAGCCTGAAAAGGAAATCCTCAAAAGTTTGCAGGCACAAATTGCCTTAAACTTGGAATTTGATTTAAACTCTGTCGCTGGAAAACTGCTGAAATCTGGTATCATTACGCCTGCACAACACAAAGTCTTAATCAACCCTGCAGCTAGATTCGAAGATCTAGCTATCGATAAAGTACTGGATGAGATTGGTGCATTAATCAAAACAGAAAAAAGAAATTTTCAAGTCTTTGTTGATGATGTTCTTGAAGAGATCGGAGGACCTGCAGAAACACTTGCGGAGAAAATGAGTAAGTATATTTGATTGATTGTTTAAAATTAAAGTTAACTCCACAGGGGTATCACTGGGCGACAACCTTAGTCAGGCACCACCTTACCCTAGTCCGGCACCATCTTACTCTAGTCTGGCACCATCTTACTCTAGTCTGGCACCATCTTACTCTAGTCTGGCACCATCTTACTCTAGTCCGGCACCATCTTACTCTGGTCAGCCACCACCTCACCCTAGTTCGGTAACACCTGACTCTGACTCTGATGAGAGTGAGTCTATTGATATTAACTAAAATGAAGAAACTTTAAGCCAGATACTAAAATGTTTAGAAATTTCTTTAAATAATAAGATGTTGTGTTATTATTGTGCTATTATTTCTTTTTTTGACAATGTTGAAACTAATGATTCTTTCTAATTTTCTAATTATTATTTTTTACATTTAAAGAAATGAATGCAATGCCATTCCTAATACTAGTGTCCTTCCACCATCATCCTAACCTATGCTCCTGCCCAACTCCAGCTGCAAGATATCGTCCATCACTTGAGAATGATAGACTATTTATAAAACCAGGCTACATAATGAAGGAGAGAGAGAGAGAGAAAGAGGAGGGAAGATATAAGACATAGAAATTATCTTCAAATATCTTCTTACCAGTGGAATGGTGAACAATTTCTCCAATGTTCTAAAGCTCTCCCCACACTTCCAGAAATGTATATACCCATCTCTTGACCCTAAAAGGACATACAGTAACATGTACACTAGATTGCATGTACATATGTACACGGAATGACACAGCAAGATGACGTAGACCATTTATTAGCAACATGCTCCACATAAATAATGTTAGTAAAACAATGCTCAGATTAAGTCACTGACTGTAAAGGAATGCAATCAGATTCATATACCAGTACAACATAGCAGGCAAATATAATTTTACTAATGTCAATTTATACAATACAGATTAGTCAATAGCATTTAATAGCATGGATCCATGGTGAATAGGTAAGAGGGTATGACTATAACAACAAAACTTACCAGAGGCAACAAGATCAGAGTGTGGTAGAGCAGTTACTGCTGTTATCCAAAATCAGCAGAATCATGGGAGGAACTCTTGAGAACCTGTGGCTTCTTTTTAGAACTATTCCACAAAGCTACACTACTGGGATAAAGGAAAGAGGGAGAGAGAGGGGGGGAAAGGAGATAAGTAACAGTAAAAGGACTAATGTACCCGTCCTGTGATCCTGACACAAAGTTCTTATCATTAATCATCTTCACAGTATCAATAGATGACCTACAGTATAATAGCATTATAGTACTCATATATTAATGATCCTTTACTTGTGTCCATGATACACTAAATGTGACTCTTCAATGATCTTCCAAACTCTGATAGTCTTATCCACACCAGCTGTTATTGGATGCTCTTGCGAGAGACAGTCTATTGCGATTATACCATCTTGATGACCAAAACTAACACAAAAACAGGAGCATATCTTTAGTATTACTACTATCATCATTACTATTATTACAAGCAAGAGTAGATTATCACTATCATTAGTTCACTATATACTATTTATTATCATGTACAGTGTTTCAACGTATGTCATTTCACTGATGTTCCAAACTTTCACTGTCCTATCTAAAGAAGAGCTAAACAACTGATTCACTCCGTGTTGGAAAACTAAACCCTGAGAGAAGAGCAACGAGAAAAAACAGAAATAAAATTATAAATTCACATAATGGATTATGTTCTACAGCTTACAGTAACAGAATTCTTATGTCCCCTGAATGTATGCAAATGAATGCAAGTGAGAGGATTCCACATATGAATGAGGTTATCAGTTCCACCACTAGCCTACACATACACAACAACACCAGGTGTTACCAGTTATGTCTTTCCCTCTCCTTCTCACCAAATACATTCCATCAGTACTAACTGCTAATGCTAATACATGCCCAGTGTGACCAGGGGCTCCTTCCTTCCCTCTTGTTATCATTACCTCCTTGACCCCTTTCTCAACATTCCCTTTAAATAAATAAAGAGGGACAGTTCACAATATGTACACATTAAAACACATATTCATCACCATCATAATATTACATTATAGCTTTCTGATAACAGTTTCCTGTAGAGATGACATATAAAATAGCTTGTAATAATCTTTTGTGTAGTATAGAGTAACGGGATATCACCGTCACTTTAATTAAATACTACTCTGTCTCTCTCTCTCGTAGCAGCTGCAATAACCCATACACTATAATAGGCTTCCATTCACTCACACATTAACCATATATAGCATAGGAACATAGTACATTATGAAATAGTTCAAATGTCAGTGATCACTCATTGTCACCAAACATGTTGTGTACTATACATGTACTTACATTTTATGATACATGAGTCCTTGCTGCCAGTAAATGCGTATCTGCCGTCAGGAGTGAGTGCTAAAGATGTCACTGACAATCTGTGACCTTTAAAGAATCTAATGGACTCCAAAGGAGGAGCTGTACACTGAGAGAGAGGGAGAGAGAAGGAGAGAGAGGGGAGGGAGAGAGAGAGAGAAGTCATAAATAAGATAATGCTTAAGCTGATGTTTATACTTGATCAGCAACAGCTTTGTGTATCCTTCCTGATTTCTCTAGCTAATGAAAACAAAGAGTCGTTTACAATATCAATAACAATTCATCACTTCTCCCTCCAGCTCCCTCTCTCTCTCTCTCTCTCTCCTTTCACTCCTACATCCTTTTAACATTCTATTCCTCACTGCTTTCTCTTGCAGCCTACGACCAATGGCATCATTATCAACATCATCATCTTCATCTTCTTCAGTTGAAGATCCTCTTTCTAAAACATAACAAAAAACAATTACTATTTTGAAAATGCTTTACTGATAGTAGCCTAATACTAATATTACATGCAGTGTGACAGGACACTACTAATATTACTAATAAACAAGTAATGTCATTGCAGATATTTGTGGATGCTTCTTAGCAAGTGGTATAGTAAACAGAATAAGCTTGCGTTGTTAAAGTAAACATGTGCAGTAGTCAATGTAAGCATTTTAGGAGGAAGTGTGTACTATTATCAGTAAAAGAATTGTAAAAATCCAACTCTGACTAGAGTCAACTCAAAACTTGATAGTGTAATTTACCTTTGTTTCCATTCCATTGATTGCACTCAGCCCTATTAGTTGCAGTAAAACCAGCCACCAATGATAATAATAGCTATAAAGGCCTTTTCAGACTGGCAAAAGCAATGCGCATTAATCGTGTTCACCTGGACTTTGCAAAGCCTTTATAATTGAAATAATGCTTATAAAAGATAGTTTGACTGCATGTCTTAGTTCTATAATGGATGTCATGGCCTACTTGTTGTGTACATTTCACTCAAGCCACTTTTTTAGCTTAACTCTGTTAAATTAGGCCAACATTTTTTATTGTACTGATAGGTTATTGTTTACTAGTTGTAGTGGGGCTATTATTTAGAACTTGTGTCAAGTAGAAGAGCTGTTATATTATATTGGTTTTTCAAGCCCCACCTTTCTAGCCAATTTTTCTTTGTAATACCGTAGGTCGGGATATATTCGCGGCTGCAATTATTCGCGGTCATAAAAAATTCAATTAAAAACCATGGAAACTGTTAGAGCGTTGCTATGACAATTAAGACCACGTGTTTAGTGTTCAGCTATTCATCTGTTCTTTAGCAGCTATAGTGGAGCCATTCACCAATAGCGAGTCCTTCTCTATCTGTTAACTTCTTGTATGGACCGCTACCTCAAAGCTCTTTCAGCCTCTTTGCTGCAAATTGTTGCTGGTCCGCGTGCTGGTGATAATAAACCACGCCCAAGTCAATAAACACTAACTAGAATGGGTGGAGAGTCCCAAAATACGGCGAGGCACTAGTTCTGTACAGAACCGGTAAAGCAGCTCCAAAGAGCCCAAGGCTTAGTGACACAAGAAGAACAACAGCTCAAGAACACTGCAGCAAGGTGCTTTTCTTCACTATCGCGCCGTTTTCAATTAAAATAACACCTCGGTTTCCATGGTTTTTAATTGAAATTTTTTTATGACCGCGAATAATTGCAGCCGCGAATATATCCCGACCTACGGTACTTGACTTAAGTGGAACTTTTTCTATATGGTTTTGTAGCTTGAGAATAGGTAGTTATAGTGGGCCTATTCTCAAAAGGAGTGTATTTTTAGTTTTGGTGCAATAGTGTTGTCAAAGTCATCATTTTTAAGGGACAAGAGATGGGAACGTCATGCATTGGTAGACTGCATATACTAAAAGAAAAGGAAAATTTCAGCAATTATAATGCATGATAAATGTCAAGTTTTATTGTATTATTTTACATAAAATCTCACTTTTTATTGGGGCGAGCCTGAGCTCGCCCCACTCTAGCTATACTCTCAGTCACGCCCGTCTGTCCCTCTGTCTGTCTGTCTGTCTGTCCTCGTACGTCACCCCTATTTATGCATAGATCTAATACGGTAGATAGATACTATGCATTACCAATGCAATTTTCAATTTTTCATTGAAAGTGGGAGCGCCGGAGCGGTCACAGTAAAATAAAAATGGCAACCAACACACTGGAAGAATTCATGAGCTTTCTAGCAGCAATATAAGGCAGATACCGTCCAAAGACTTCCCCAGCAGCTATAGAAGGTTTTAAATTCAATTAATAACCTATGAAGCTCGTCTTTACTGATGCAATTGCTATTAAAACTGTGAAAGTCAATCAAGCTTTTTCTCAGTCATCTTAATATTGGATAATATTATATCTAAAGCTAAGTAAAGCATCTTTACAGACATTTATAGGCAAGAAATGTGTATGTGAAACTAGAAGACTAAAAGTTTATTAATTTTATCAGCAGCATTAAACTTTCATCACAGATGTAAATCATGTTTGCTATGCCTAAATCATGATGCATGCTTTGAAATCATCGGGAGTAGATTATAGATGGATAGATCCAGTGCCATAATTGCTTTGCCAGCTTAGGCTCGCCCCTTAATGTTCTACATTGCTTCTAGTAATTTATCATTGTTTTAATTTTATTCTGAATGAAAAACGTAATATGACGTACTCCGGATTAATTGAATTAATTGATTAATTAATTCAATTAAGACCACCATCTTAATTGATCCTCTTTAAAAAGATCCTCTTTCTAAAACATAACAAAAACAATTACTATTTTTAAAATGCTTCCCTGATAGTAACCTTATACTAATATTACCATACAGTGTGACAGGACACTACTAATATTACTAATAAACAAGTAATGTCATTGCAGATATTTGTGGATGCTTCTTAGCGAGTGGTATAGTAAACATATGGAGCGTGCGTTGTTAAAAGTAAACACGCACCGCAGTCAATGTAAGCATTTTAGGAGGAAGTGTGTACTATTATCAGTAAAAGAATTGGCATTGCATACATTACAATGAATGGCAGTGTCACGTACAGAGCTAGTGTATGTACATGTACATGTAATGAACATTGTAAGTAGCGCTAGTATAATCAAAGGACAACAGCTATCACTTGATCCTGTATACTAACATTAAATGGAAAATATTATGACTATCCTTGAAAACAAGTTTGTGTATGCATGTTCAAATGGTAGTATCAATGACAGACATGCTGTATTGAGCTACCCTAATGATAAACACATATAGTTCATACAGTTATATCATGTACATGTAGTGATGATGGCATGAATGTGTGGGTGTGCTTACCTTCAGCTTTCAGCTGCTGAAGGTAATCTTTAGCAAGGCGTAGTCTCTTCTCTGGTGCTGTCTCCTCTCTATCACTGAAATCTTCATCAATACCAAGAGATTGGTAATCTCTATATGCACAAAAAAAAGATTTTTATCCAATGTTTGATATGATCTAGTTATCAATTATTTAAAATAACTATTATTAGTAAGCGGTCTAAGTTCTTAGAATAATGTCAGTCATGAGTTAACAGGATAAAGTTGGGGTTATCCCAGGGAAAGTACCAGCCAACCAACTCTGCTACATGTGCAATAATTAAAGAGTCTATCTCCCACTTTCAGTCACAATAACTATAGGCTATGTATAGTGCCATAATTTGGACAACTTTATTTAAAGACATCTTTAGACATAAACAATAATTTTCATTGTAAAAATGCATGAATGTCACTCATTACTATCAGTCTTGACATACATTCCCACACATCATAAGGGAGTTGATCAATGAAATGAATGAATACACTTAAAAGATTATCATATACTTGCATAAGGAGAGCCAGTAGACAGATTAAGGACAACCAAAGAGAAGGGGAATGAAGACACTTGTGCCATAAGAAATGAATACATGTATTAAATTACTTTACAGGTAAGTAACTCCTACACAAAAAGGAGGAGCTACCCACTGCTATATAAAAGAAGAGGCAAAGAAGGAAGAGACAAGAGTCAGGAATAAGGTCAAATGAATCTCCAAATGGATCAGAAGTTGCTGGAAAAGATGAAGACAGAAGCCAAAACAAATGAAGCCATGGCAATCCTAATGCGCATGGATCAGCTACACAGTGGTCTGTCAGCATCAATACTGACAATAGCTTCGAAATGCTATGCAAAAGGCATGATAGATGAAGATATCTACGATTGGATGTTTGATGGTGAATGGAAACCTGACAATGCAAGAGCACAGTTACTTGTTAGATGCATTGAAAAAAGGCTTAAAGAAATGGATGCAACGAATGTTGGAACAACAATCAGAAGTTTTGCAGAAGTGATAAGAAAAGAAGGCAGTCTTGGTCTTGAGCAGATAGCTCAACAATTGGGTAAGAAAAGTTTAAATTTGATATCTAATATAAACAGACCTTTTTGATGAGAAATGTTTATTTTGCTTTAATTTATTTTTAATGATGCAAACTCATTTACAATGTAGATAGTTGCAAAACTGCTGAAGATTTTAGAGATATTTCTGATACAATATCCACTGGCATTGCTTCATCTCTGACTACCATTGCAATGGGAGCAGTGGCCAACGGAATAATCTCTTTTTCAGAGTGTGTGGCATGCACTCAAGGAGATGCTACTGCAGAGGCTAGGCGTACACAACTTGTCCTCCAGCAAATATTCCATGGAGCAGCTGAGAACCCTAAGGTACTATACGACTTTATGAAGATTCTTGAGAAAAAAGGAAAACCAATTAGCAACCAATGTGACGGAATAAGTAAAGCAACTTTATTGTGATTCTTGATAAATATATCTATTACACAGATATGGTACTGAGACAGTTGTCAGCAAATACTGGTCAAGAGGGTATAGATGGTGATGATGATGCAGATGAAAAAATTGATGTCAACTGAATTTCATAAATATTAACTTTGTTAAACTTTTCTATAAATAAATATATTTTTCTACTTTAAAATGAAATGACTCAAAAATGAAAAGCACAGCATAGCATAGCATATAATGTGCTGACACATATGCATGACATCATATACTCAATGAATCCATTTAACTGAGCAGGAAACTAAAAGACAGATAGACAGATTAGGAAAAACAAGAGGAAAGAGAGCAAGAAAGAGAGAGAGAAAGCATGGGAGACCAACTACTTGAAGTTGATAGGAAGATGAAGGAAGAAGCAACCAATAAAGAAGGAAGGGCATTCCTTGAGAACATCTCCAGACTAGAGCTGGGCCTGTCATCCACCATAACAACAGTAGCTCTGCACTGCTATTCCAAAGAGCTCATTCCTGGTGAAGTCTATGAAGGAATGTTTGAAGGAGAATGGAATCCAGAGTATTCAAGAGCTCTGTACTTCCTCAATCGTGTGCACAAGAAACTGAGACAATATGAAGACCTTGATGACACTGGAGCTGTGAAAAGAACCATCACAACTCTTGCCAGCATAATAAGAAGTGACAGTGCCCTAGAGCACATAGCCAAAATACTAGGTAAAGCTATAACCAAATGATAATAAGAGAATGCATGCTTGATACTTTATCTACAGTATACAAGCTACAGTGTTATTTCAAATATGTGATAATAATATGAATTCCCTGTAACTCCCTCATTGAAAGAAAGCATTGTTGCATGAATTTAGCTTAGTCTAGCTTAAATACATTTTTGTTTATATTTCAGACAGATGCTCCACTGCTACACAATTCAAAATGAATTCTCCTAACATATATCAAGGCATACAGACATCACTGATTAGCATTGCAATGGGAGCAGCTGCAAAAAATATCATCACATATTCCGAGTGTCAGGCCTGCGTTCAAGGAGACGCCAATGCAGAAGGAAGACGTACAAGAATGGTGCTCAACGAGATTTACAAAGGAATAAACGAGGACTCAAAAGTATTGGGGAAATTTCTAGATATACTGAGGAAAATGGGACCGCCTACTAGCAATTACTGCAAACCAATAGGTATGTATAATGAGTCTGTTGTTGTTGATAATTTTGTATCTCATAGAACAAAAGTTGGGACAAGATGAGACAGATCATCGTTAAAAATTCACTCTGCCACTACTACATGATAGCTGAACTATATCTTTTGTATAATGTTCCATTTTATTAGACAAAATAGACACATTAAAAATACAGACGAAAAGAGTTACAAAATATTTTTCTCTAGTGGATAATATCATATTTAATTTTCATACCATATTAATTTTGATAATGATTTATGCAATGTAAAGCCTGTACATTGTTATGACAATAAAGCCAACAAATTACACCACATCACATGACCAATAGCT